GAAAGCCAGAAAAATGGCTCTGAGCTCTAGCCAATTTATAGGAAGGGTCTGCTCTGACCTGGACCAAACGCCCTGAGCTATCTGGCCCTGCATATGGGAACCCCAACCCAGGAGGCTGGCATCGGTGGATATCACTAGCCTGTCTGGGTCCCTGAACAGAAGTCCCTTCCAGATTGATGGGGAACGCCACCAATTGAGAGATCGCAGGATTTGTGGCGGGAGTGGGACCTTGATGGATGAGTGGCTGGTTCCTGCTCGTTGGTAGGGAAGCAGGAACCATTGGAGCGGTCAGGAGTGGAGCCGAGCCCATGGGACGATGCCAATACAGGAGACCATCTTCCCCAGAATTTGGACAGCAGCAACAGGGGGACATTTTGATGTTGCTGGATCTGGCTGATGATCTCTGCAAGGCTCTTTCCACGAGCTGGGGACAGGAAAACCTGGCACGTCGTGGTATCGATGACTGCTCCCAAGTGTTGCAATTTGCTTGTGGGAGAGAGCTGGCTCTTTTTGGTGTTGATGGAAAACCCGTGACTCTGGAGATATGACAGGGTAATTTGCAGATCCCAATGGGCCGCATGGATGGAGGAGGACAGAATCAAAATGTTGTCCAAGTAGCATTGGATCCTCATTGGAACAGAACGCAGAGATGCCATCAACCTTTGTGAAGACCCTTGGAGCCGATGAGAGGCCGAAGGGAACTTCTCGATACTGGTAATGGGTATTCTGATAACAGAAACGGAGAAACTGGCAATGATGAGGCCAAATGGGGATGTGGAGGTAAGCCTTTGTGAGATCAATGGAAGAGAGAAGGTCTCCCTTCTGAACACTGTCTAAAATAGAATGCAGAGTCTGCATTTTAAATCACCTGTATTTTACAAATTGGTTGAGAAATTTTAGATCAAGGATGGCTCGCCCCCCCCCCCCGAGGCTTTGGGAACGATGAAAAGGCGAGAGTAAAACCCACGTCCCCATTGAGAGGGGGGAACAGGTTGAACAGCCCTGATTTCAAGAAGGTGTTGAATTGCCTGATTCATGAGAGCTTGCCTTGAAATGTCCCGAAAAACAGGACAGATCAAAAAATTTTCTGGGGGTGGCGTTAGGAAGTCCAATTGTAACCCTGACCTAATAGTGCTGAGCACCCAGGTGTCCGTCGTTGACTCCTCCCATTTGGAGGCAAAGAAGGCTAGGTGACCTCCGATGGGTGGGCAGAACGAGGGATTACTTAGAGTGAGGGAAAGAATGACCCCCTTCCCCCGAAAGGGCTGTTTACCAGAAGAAGGTTGTTGCCTGCCAGATGCTTCTGCACATTGGTCTTGGCTTGGGAGTACAGCCTTTGAGAGCGAGGGAAGCGGGAGGAGGTCTCCGCTTGAAAAGCAGGAGGATGATAAGGAGCTGGGTGATAGTTGGCTTTCTTCCCAGTGGAAGAGAGATTTTTACGTTTATCTCTGGTTTCGATGAGAAAAGGTTCCAGAGAATCGCCAAAAAGTTTATCGCCTGCGAAGGCAACTGAAGCCAACTTCCATTTTCGACGTGACTCCGCCTGCCAATTTCGGAGCCATAAAAGTCTTCTTGCTTCTACTGAAGATTCCATGGCCCTAGATGCAAATTTGGCGGAATTGAGAGTGGCATCCACAGTGAATTCCGCCACTGCGATAATTTTGTTAAGGTCTTGATGAGACTGAAGGTCAGAAGCAGGCAATCTATTCTGGAGTTGGCGCAGCCACCGTATGGATGCCCTCGTGAAAAAGGATGCTGCTGTTGAAGCCTGAACAGCCCATGCAGCGGCCTGGTGATTGCGCTTGAGGGTCTGTTCAGAACGTTTGTCATCTGGTTTCAGGATATCTTCTGGCTCAGTGGGAGTGCCAGAAGATGAGAATGAGGCCACAACTGGAACGTCAACAGCAAGCACTGCCAGGGCATTGTCCAGGGCTGCACTGACGTTGTAGAAACGCTTATCCAGAGAAGATGGGCGAGGACCTGCCAAAGGGGAAGCGCACTGTTTCTTGACCATATCCAGGAAAAACGTGGGAGAAGGCAAAACTTCTGCATGCACTACAGGCTTGGAGAAGAGCGAGTCTCCTTGGCCAGAGGGATCTCCTTGTGGCTCAGGAGCCACTTCCTCCGGCGACAGCTTGGCAGTGACCAAGGCCTTGCTGAGTAATGGCCTGAAGAGAGTAGATTTGAAGACCAATGCAGAGGATGTCTGCTCTGGGCGAGAATCTTCTTCCTCTGAAATATTTTGGTCATAAATCTCACCCTCTTCATGCTCTGAACGGGAGGAGTAACTGTGTTCAGATGGAGAAGCCCCTCCTTCCTCATCAACCTCCTCCCATTCTGGTAGTGAAGAATGGACCCTGAGGTCCTGGGGCCTGTGAAATTCAGGGTGAGGAGGCAAGGAACTTATAGATTGAGAAGGGAGAAGGGCTTGAACCCTTTCCAGAGGTCGAATAATTTGCTTGAAGCCTTCAGCCAATTCCTGCCTAATGGCCAATGAGACAACATCTTGGATATCCCCTGGTCTATGCTCAAAGGTAGAGGCAGAAGGCTGAAGGCCCGCTGCTGTGTGAGTGAAGGTGGCTTCAGGCCTAGATTGAGAAGAGGGTCTAGGTCTGGAGGAAGGGGGGGCATAGGGCCGAGAAGCCTGATGGAAATAGGGCCCAGATCTGCTGAGATCCTGAGGAACTGATTGTTCTGCAAAGGCCCCAGGAGATCAGGATGGAGGATGAAAAGGCTCATATATAACTTCTCCTCCTCTGGGAGGGCTTGGCTGGGGCCCATGGGTATCACCTGAAACTTGTTGCAGTTGCCCTCTCATCTGTTGAACTGCCTCTCTAGGGCCGCATGCCTGCGCTTCTCTGCCCTCAACTCAGCCTGAGTTGCCTTCTTAGGGGCTAGAGCCTTACCTCTGATTTTAGCAGCCACCTCCCTCTGGACTGATTGGGAGCGCTGCCTACGTCTTTTTCTCTTATTGGGCTTAAGAGACTGATCCACTGGGGGGGAAAGCTCTGCTTGAGCCTTATCCTGATCCATTTGTAGAAGGAAAGCTCTTGCGTTGGGAAGAAGCCGATTAGAAATTTAGAATAAGTCCTTTAGGGTATAAAATGACCCCGGGCTTACAAAATGGCCGCTCACCTCGTGGTGGAAGGCTTCAATCCAAGATGGCCACTGACTAGGAAACCGGCCTCCGAGATCAAAGAATCGCTCCTTAGGCTAAAAAGAGCCCTGAGCGAAGTCAGCAGAAGAAAGCACAGCCACCGGCCACACGATCAGCTGGCTGGTGCTGTTATCGGTTTGCCGATCGTTTTTACGATCGCTCAAACCGCAGGCGTGGGGGAGGTCTCAAGACGCTGCCCAGCTTGCTTGCACAGCACTCTGGCAGCATTGCTCCCAACGTTGCAGGAGAGGGAGCCCTGCTCTCCTGGAGGAGCAGCTGCCCAGATCCCTGGGAGCTGCTGAAGCGACGAAAAAGGTCTTGAAATTCGTACTTTATTGCTATCTATCAGAATGCTTTCAGAGACACAGCTACTGACTGAAAGAAGCTGAGTCAAAAGCTGGGGTCTCTTCCGGGGGCTGGCTTTTATATCCTAGTACAGACTTAGCTAAATGACATCATAGGAAGGAGTCAACCCGTCCTGGGCTCTCGATGCAGCATGGAGGAGAGCTGGTCAGAGCCTGCTGAATACCACCTCTGGCTCCTGCCCTGTGGAATATTCTCTCTCAGGAGGGGAGGTGGGCCCTGACTCTCCTGGCCTTTTGAAAAGGAGTTAAAACATGGCTCTGTGACCTTTGGGAAGCCCAAAAGAGCAAGCAATCGTGGGGCTGGTTTGGTTCCATGAGAGTTCCCCCTCCACCCTCGTTAATTAATTCTAACAAGGTTTTATTATTCTTGCCTCCTTTTAAAAATTTAGTTGTAATATTTTAATTTTATATATTGTTTTTATATTTTGATGTTTTATTGTACACTGTCCAGAGTTCCTTTTTGAGGGAGATAGGAGGTTCAGAAATGTGAAAAATAAATATTTTAATTGAATTCTGTGTGTGATTATTGCTTTACTATTTTTGTCTATAGTTTTTCATATTTAGAGATCTGAGTTGCTGACCTTTCCATGCACAAGATTGCATAGCTGCATAACTGCCCTTTGTATTTCATAACAAGTACAATTCTTGACTTTGACCCAGACAAAACAAAACATTTTCTTTCTAATATTCTGGACCTAAAGGGAAACTTTAAGAACCCCCAGCTGCATTGGCCAGGATGTATCAGCAGATTCAGGCTGATTGGTGGCAATTTACCACAATTAATATTTATTGGTGAGCCCTTGGAAGAAGTGTGTTGTGGAGTATCAAATGATCCCAGCTCTCGATTTGCAAACAGAATAATAGCCAAGTTATGTAAAAATGTGCTACACCAAAAATGCCAAACTGAGATACTGTTATGCAGCGTAAAGATCAAGGGTGGGATTCTACCAGTTCGCACCTATTCGCTAGAACCGGTTGTTAACATTCTAAGCAGTTCTGAGAACTGGTTGTTAGAAGAAATTACTGACCTAATCCTGTAAGGAAGGCAGGAAGGAAACATTCTGGTGTTGCTTACAGAAACTGCCTCTCCGTTAACCCTTATTACATTCTTGGCAGGACTAGACTTCCTGTCTCAGGAACTTCTCTGGAGTTTTTTTCCCTCCTTTGCTGGTACTTTGCTTGTGTGGAGTGATCATTCAAAGTTACAATGGCACTGAAAAAAGTGACTTATGACCATTTTTCACACTTACGACTGTTGCAGCATCCCCACAGTCATGAGAGGCCTGGCGAGGAGATGCGTGCCTTGATGTGAGTGAAGTTGAGTTGGCCATGCCCAGCCAGTTACATGACCACCAAGCCACACCCACCAACTAAGGCACGCCCACAGAACCGGTTGTTAAAATTTTTGAATCCCACCCCAGTAAAGATATATTAGCGAAGTAATTTGGGAACAACGAAACATCTTTTATGTTACTTACCTGCACACTTAAAACTCTGAGCAGTCAGGCCTCTTTCCAAGGACAAGGTAGTTAAAATGCTCAGAAAACTGGTGGTGACAGACTGGCGCTTGATTTTCCTATGTTCTTTTTCACAAGATAAGCCTTGAACTTTGTTTCTCAGTGTCACCTGCAGGTTTTGCCCTAAACTTGCTGCTCTGGTTGCAGCCTTCAAAGCTTCCATCCATTCCTGAGCTCTTTGAAGGGTTTCTGCACGGAGACGAAGCACATCTTGAGGAAAGATCACCTGAAAACAAGAGTCACAGTCATCCAGAATATCAGTTTGAACAGAGACGCATGCCTCAATATTGTAGCTCCACAGAGGGTCCTCATCAAGCCCACCAATCTGAAATGCCATGAGAAGGGACCCACTGAGTACAAAATGGAATGCTTTCCAGTTATTCTGGAGAGTCAATCTGTAAAGAATCCCTGATTTGACAATGCTTTGGTAATCCTTGATGTTTGGGGTCAAAGGTGTGAACTGGAAAAATTCAGCAGGTTCCTTCTGTAAGCCATGGTTTTGAGTGAGGCTGCTCTCAGCATTATCTAACTTCCATGAGTTCACCAAATCTCCTTTTGGCTTCAGAAACGATGGAACTGAAGAATGAACAGCTTGCCGAAGTTTTTGTCCCCAGTCCAAAGCTTCCCAAGGTGATTCTGCTTTGAGTTGCAGGTGCAAATTATTGAACAGGACTGCGTCAACTACACTGGTTTCCACGTTGATGCTTTGGAAGTGCAAAAGCAGGTAGACTGTTGGAAGGTTCTGGTTGCCGCTTTTGTCAAGCTGATACAGACGAAGTTCATATGGAGAGAGTTCTGCATAACAAGCCTGCCAGTAATTGCCACGGTTGTTCTTAATTTCTACATACCCTTTCTTCAAGATATTTGAATATGTAGGCTTGTGTTCTAGAAAAGAGTTTGAACAAAGGTAATTATAAATGCTTTAAAACATCTCTATAATGCTTAAGTTGACCAGTAACAGTTAGTCATTATTGTTTTAGGAAATCACAGTGGCTGGGCATCTTTAATCAACTGAGGTTGATTAGGTTCACTACAATTCTCTTCACAAAGACAATTTGGAGCTATAAACTTACATCTTGATAACATTTTACTTGGATTATAAGGCTGTTCTTACAAAGGATCTTGAAACAGCTGATCCAAAATAGGCAGCAAGGTATGTTAATAGGAGCTAGCAGAAATTACCATGTTATGCCTATTCTTTTCTATCTGTTCTGGCTTCCAGGCCATTACTGGACCCAATTCAAAATGCTATTAAACTTGACAACCCTAAATGACTCAAAACAGCTTATTTGCATGACTTCGTTTTCTCATAAGTACTTTAAGACAGGGGTGTCACACTCACATCGTCATGGCAGTAGCATGTGATGTTGATGTATTGGGACTTTTTCCCCCTTCGCTAAAACCAGGCATAGGCGTGGCGCATCCGGCCTGTGGGCCAGGAGTTTAGCAGGCCTGCTTTAAGATCACCTCCAGAGCCACTTCTCAGACTACCTCCCTCCCTCCCTCCTTCTTCCATATTTTTAAGAGTATTGTTACTGTGTGTGTGTGTGTGTGTGTGTGTGTGTGTGTGCGCGCACACACACACACACAAACAAACAAAATGAAAGAATACAAAAAATACTCTAAAATGTCCAGGGAACTAATTTAGTGGGTGGTATATAATAATAGAAACATGTTTCTGCAATCACTAGGCAAAAGAATATTTTTTATTATTCTAATATTTTCATATATTATTTACACTGAAAGGTATATGAATATTCTCATAGAATGTATACAAGTTCAATAGGAAGGTGAGCCTTTTTAGACAAGGCATTTAAGATAGGAAGGCAGATTCTGATCAACAACAACAATACATTCCTAACTGTAACAGCAGCAGTTTGATGATGGAAGCAAACAGCCAAAGGATGGTGAGCTCCCCTTCAATGGATGCACTCAAAGGAGACTAAAAGCCATTTGCCCAGAAAGCTTTCATTTAGATTTCTGAACTGAATGGTGGGTTGGATAATAGCCTGAAGCATGAGAAGGATGAGAAGCGAAATACCTGCAAAGAAAAACAAAGAAGTCCCATTGCCTCTGAGGGAAAAGTCCCGTTACCTCATGGTTTGGGATAACCATGACCTGGATGATTGAGAAGCTCCATAGACATGCAGGCTGGGGAATTCTGGGAGCTGAAATCCACACATCGTAAAGTTGCCAAGGGTGAAAAACGTTGGCCTAAGGGGTACCATTCAGCTCTAGAATTTAATGAATCTCTCTATAGTTTTCAGAAATAGTTTTAATGCTGTGTCTGCATTTTCAACTTCTGCATTGTACTCCAACCTCTGGCACTGAATGTGATAGTTGTTCCAGTACATGGCACCATGATATGTTTCTCCTTTTATGATGAACTAAGCAAGTAATAAAAGACTGCTCTGCCAACATGTATTTTATCTTCTCTGAAAAACCCTAAGAGATTTTATTTAATTTGCGGGCAACAAAGAAACTAAATTCAATTTAAACTTGAAGAAAAGAGGTATTGATGAGCTCTCGGATTTATTAGAATTTCTGTGTAAACTCAAAATCCATTAATTTTTTTGAGCCTCTTCTTTCCCCTCCCCTTCCCCACACTCTTTTGTAGTGGAGATAATGGGCACACATTCTACTGCCATCTTCCTTTTCTGTTAATCCAATAAGAGAAACAGCATGGCTACTGCAGACCCAACTACAACTCCATTCAGCTGTTCTCATTTCTATCAAACACAGATGACACTTCAGGTTCTCCTGGTTTTCATGCCACATCCATCCCTGTTTTCCCCTCCTTACTTGCTTTAAACTGTCTCAGAGATTTGCTTGTCTTTTGTTAAGCTAGACAAAAGCTCTCTCTCTCTCTCTCTCTCCCCCCCCTCTCTCCTTCCTCTCATTCTCCCCACCCCCCAATCTTCTACAGCCAGTCATTCTTTCTACTAACTGTCTCTAAAGCTAGTGTGAACTAGCTTCCCACTTCAACAGAAATAATAGTAAGGAATGACTTCATTAACATGCATATCCAGCACACTCTTTGGAACAGCAGTTGCTGCCACAAACTGGCCAGATCACAGCTCCCTGACCATTGCCTTCCATCAACCATCTCCTGTTCCACCTCATCTGTCTTATGCACCAAAGCTACATAATACCTTTCCACAGAGTACTTTCTCTCCAGCTTCTAAAAGGGAAAGAAAATTTCTCTTTACTTTCACCAAACAAGGAAATTCAATTGAGGCAGAGCAAATCAGAGCCCATCAAAGTAAATAGGAGATAATCACATTAAATTGCCCACATCTGGGCTATTTTTTCTGAACTGTAATTCTAGAGAAATAAATCCCAAAGAAGGAAACATCAGAGAAAAGAGTAAGGTAAGAATTTTCTCTCTACAGATTACATCCCTTTTCTTTATTATGTCTCATTACAATTTTTGTAATGTATGTTATATATCTGAAATGGACACTGAGAATAGCTAACATCTCTCTCTCTCTTTGTTCTAACAACCTCTCCAGGTAATAGAAGCAAAGATCACACTGTAAGCAAAACATGGGTTGCATTTCTCATGGTCCACACTCTTGGTAGTGTTATTGTCTGCATATGATAGAGGAATTTATTAAATCACTCCAAAGGCCCATCTAATTTACTTTATTAAATCACTCCAAAGGCCCATCTAATTTACTTTATTAAATCACTCCAAAGGTCCATCTAATTTAGCAATCTTTACAGCTGTTACTAGTTAGTTGTTTCCAGAAAGCAAGAAAACAATAATACTTCCTCATTCATCACATATTTAGAGCTACAATGTCTCTAAACATGGGGTTTTTATTTAGATATTAGGATCAAATGGAATTAACGACATTTAGTTAAATAAAAGGCATTCATTCCCCCAGAATCCTCAACCATATCCATTTAGTAGCCAAAGATATTGGCTAACTTGGGTGTTAGACAAACAGTTGAGAAGACCTTTAAATAAAGGAACTGCCCTCACACACATTAATTTTAAAGGAAATTTTGTGTCATATAATTATAGAAAAATTAGGACTGAGGCATCAAATATATCTACTGTAAGAATGAGCATGCATAGGCAGCATTTCTTTTTCCTCAAGGCATTAGTGAACCATTTGAGAGGTTTCTTGACACATTGCTCCCTCAGTTTAATACTGCTGAGCTTTTACTACCAGGAATTTGCTACAATAGCAAGAATTTCCAAACAGCAACAAGACAGAAAGTTTGGAAGCAAGCATAAAGCAAACATCTCAGAATGTTAACTATTTGGCCACTTGGAAGAAATTGAGAATGAAAATAACAACAAACAAAAACAATCCAGCTGTTTTCTTTTTTGCTTTTAGATGCTTTGCAGAGTGAGGTGGGAAGCATATAAATTTAATAAAATCATTCAATGAAAAATAATTTCCATATGTCACAAAGTATATACATGAACTAAGATACCCTACAGAAGTGGTGTCTGCATTTTTATTGGACTGAGTATGAAAGCTTTGCACAATTATCCTTATCTACTATCATTATAGTATAAGACTTTGACAAGGAGTTTTCCTTTCTCTCTCTCAGCATATCCTTCAATATTAATTTGTATCCCAAAATCAAAAAGGAGAAAAAAAATAGATGGAAAAGAAAATAACAGTCCAGTTTCAAAATATAAGATCATGTATAGAAAATCCAGCAATGAGAAAAAAACATTACTTTGACATTCCTGTTTAAAATCGCCGCTTAATCACTTCTGTCAAAACTTTTACAGATTCTTTCTTTTCCTTAGGGTGTCCTTTCAGATCTTAGAATAAAGAAAAAGTTCTCACCAAACTGGCACACTGTCTCTTTCTGTTCTCTTTCGTTTTGGAACTGTCCCAACTTCAGCAGCTTTAATGGCTGCCTCTTTGCCATTGGCAAGAAGAGCTTCTCCTGGATCTACCAGGGACTTTGCGGTATCCCTGGGATCGACAGGATACGCTCTTTACATTCACCATCTCTTTGGGACGGTTTAGATCCAATAGGACCATCCAGGAGCAAAGATATCGGCAGCGATCTCAGACCTCCAAGACCGCATGCCGTATCGTCGCGATGCCAGCTCCGCCCACTTTAGGCTAGAGACTCCCTTTTAGTTATTTCTTTTTAAAAAAATATCTTTTTCCTTTTTTTTAATTAATTCTTATTATATTTTGCTTGGAAAAGGAGGGGGAAAGTGAAAGCAAAGAAACTTTGTAACACTGCCAACTAGAGGCTTGGAAATATTCTATTTCTCCTGTGACCAGACAAAGCTGAGAAAGAAAGAACTGAGACTTTTTTTCAAGGACATTGAGAAGAGCATGGGAGAGTATTATTGCAGGTGCTCTTCTGGGTTTCTATCAACAGCTGGAGTCCAGTGTTGAAACCTAGGGGAAAAAAAGGTGATAAGTTTTTGGAGAAGAGAGTTATAATAAGAGCCTTGGATAATTAAACAAAGTGTAGTGTGCTCTTTTTACTTTTTCTAAGTTGTGCTATCCCTCCTCACCAGCTTTATTTTATTTCGTTTTATCTTTTTTTTTTTTTTGCAATAGCTATTTGGATCTTTGGCTTTGTTGGAGCTTGTCTTTGTTTTTCTTTTTTTTCTTTGGAAGTCCAATCTCTACGCTTGCTTTTTATTTTAAAGGGAAAGCTTTAGTATTAATGTTTCCTTTTTTTTAAGGGAATAGCCTTTTTTTCTCCTTTCTTGGTATTTTTGTTTTTTCATCTACCTTTTTGGTTTATTTTTATGCACTCTTTTCTATTTGAGACTTCTCATTGGATTAAGGTGTTGAAGAACCTGAATAATTTTTCCTTTTTTTTTTCCCCCAAGCCTTTTTATTCATCTAACTACTGATTGGATTAAGGTACACAAGAACCTGAAGAAA